CTCTTTGTCCGTCTACTTTATTCCTCTGGGATAAAATCCTATCTACACAGCTTCAGTTCTGTACTCAAGCCTAGTTCCTTTCTGTTAATTCTCTCGACATTTATCTGCTGTCCCCTCTAATTCTCTAATAATCTTAATTCTCTTATCTTAGTCCTGCCCCATCTAGGTTCTCATTCATCTAGTTCCTTCCCATCTTAGCTCCTCTCTCATCTTGTTCTTCCCCATCTGGCTCTTCCTCATCTTCCATCTCGTTCCTCTCATTCCTCTCTTAGCCCTTCAATCTAGTTCTTCCCATCTAGTCCGTTCCTCTCCAGTTCTTACCCATCTAGTTCTTCTGTTTTCTTTTTTCCTCTCTCCTTCCTCCTCTCAGTCTCCTTATTCTCTCAGTTCTCCCTAATTCTCACAGGAATCCAGTTATAAACCCAAGTAACAACAATCCTCTCACAGAACAAGGTCACCAGGCTTGAATTCTTACGGTGTCATAAAGGCAGATGAGAATTTTCCTCAGGCAGTGACCACCAGGCTTTCTTTTACAACCAAAAAGGGGAGTGTAAAGGAGGAGGTCAATAGAGAGCAAATGTTTGGTTAGTATATCAAGAAGGAAATTTATGTGCTCAATCTATATTCCCAGAAGTGGTTAGGTAAGAAATTAGGAGTCTATTAGTAAGGCTGTAAGGAAGGAGGGTCTCACCCTAAATTGCACAAGAAATAAAGCTATCCTCCTGACCTAGGAGACAGGTGTTGTTTCATTTGGCCTTTTTTTTTTTTTTTTTCTTCTTGATAGGTATTTTAGATAAATATACTGTTAGGAGTTCTTGGAAGCATGCACAGCATTCCAAGAAAATCACTGTAGGAACCAGCTAATATATATACAAAAGCTAAAACATCACAAAGACTTCTTAAACCAGGGCTTGACCTTTGGAGAAGTCCTTGACTTTTCCAAGTAGTAGCTTTTGTGATAGTAGCTGAATTCCATTACATTTTCCTGTGGCTTGCAGCAGTTAAGAGTCCATACTGTTTTTCCCTAGGACCTGAGTTTGATTCCCAGAAACCACATCAGGCAGCTTCCAACTGCCTGTAACCCCAGCTCCAGGGGAATCTTACACCTCTGACCTTTGTGGGCAGTGCACCCATGTCCATGCACCCCCATACACATAATAATATAATAAAAATAAATCTTTTTAAAAAGACATGATGGAAGTAGGAGGGCTTGCTGGGAAGGTGAGAGAAGGAACTAAGAGAGGATAATGGGAGGGTATGATGAAAGATTTTATATATATATAAATATATATATATATATATATAGTGTGTGTGTGTGTGTGTGTGAGAGAGAGAGAGAGAGAGAGAGAGAGAGAGAGAGAGAGAGAGAGGTGAAGTCAATCAAAAAAAAAAAAAGCACAGTAAAGGCTGACCTGACCACTTCCTTTACACATCCTAACACTCCATACATGCAAGTGTATATGGACATCTGTGTGACA